CCAAAACCCCAACCCTACGGTAAGGTAAGTTAGTTCCCTTACCGTACTACGTAGTACTTACGTAGTAGTCACTAGTCTATATGAACTAACTCTCTCTCTCTCTCTCTCTCTCTACAATCTCTCCCTACAACTAAAAAGTCCACACACTATGACAAACATCATGAAAATTTCTCTCTCTACAGTAACATCATGAAATTTTTTCTCTCTCTACAACCTTTCTCTACGACCAAAAAGTCCATATATTACAGCGAACATCCATGAAAGTTTCTCTCTCTACAGTTTAGAGCCAAACACCCATGAAAAACTCTCTCTCGCTCTGTAGACTCTAGAACCCAACATCCATGAGAAAGTCTCTCTCTCTCTCTCTCTCTCTCTCTCTAGGACAAGGGCAGTGACTAGAGAATCCACTGAGAAACCCTTTGAATGGTTCCAAGCCATGATTCTTGGTTAATTAGGGCATAAAAAAACACCCACTTTTCAAGGGGATTTAGTGAGGGGCATGATGGCTTTTGGGATTCAAAAGTTAAAAACCGCCGTATTTGGAAGACAAAAACACAAAACAATCCCATTCTTTATCGTTTCTTCAAAAAAGGATAAACCCAAACTGTTTCCATGATCACATAGAATAATGCTTTTTCTCATCATTTTGCTCTTAGTTATAGTAATCTTCAAAGTTAAAGGGTGTGGTTTGCATACGGTTGCAACCTAAAACAATCCAATTAAGCGGCACCTCTGAATTTGATTGTAAATGTCATTTTGATATCAAATTTTTTTAAGATGACCTGATAATCTATTTTTATCTTTAATTATAAAATTTTAAACTCTAAATATGGTTCAAATCAAGTAGATCTATAAACACATGAAAATCTTGAAAATGGACGGTCCAGATAATGTTCTCCGGGGATTCGAAATCTTTTTTTTTTTTTCATATTTGTGCATCTCAATGTCGAGATGATCAATAAGAGGGTTTTCCAACATCCAAACAAGTTTTTAGAATGGATTTTTGAGGTGCACCTTTAATTCTATATTTTAAGGTTGCAACTTTATATAAACTTTAATTCTATACTGTCGAGAGTATTTAAATTTACTTTTAATAAAAAAAAGGTCACAATTATTCTTAATTATTAAATGTGATATTGATTGGATTGAAATTTATCACAACATTCAGGAAATTTTGATTTGGACATGGTGCCTAGTCAATGACATGATTTCAACAACCCGATTTCATGTCTAATGAGTGTTAAGCAAAATCGAACCAAAATAGTTAACCGGACATGGGCCCGAAAGCAGTTTAATCAGCCTAACTAGTAAATCGGCCAATTCAACCGTTCAAATCGGACAAGTCCCTAGCGGTCAAAGAAGTTTTGAAAAAAATAAAGATACAAAAAATAAAATAAAAATAAAAATAAAAATAAAGATACAAAAAATATATACTAAAATATGAAAAACATATAAAGAATTATTAAAATAAAACACATTCAAATGAGGTTGAAAATTAATGAAAAAATGGATTTTAACGACCAAAATCGATTTTCTAAAAAAGATGAAAAATTATAAAAGTGAGTATTAATGACCAAAATATTTTTTTAATCTTTACTATAATATAAAGAATATTAAAAAATACATTACAAACCAAATTCCTTATTTTTGAGAATTTATATATATTTTTTAATAAAAAATAAAAAATACATATCGATCATCAAAACCGTACAAAACCGAAATCGGTCAGTGGCCGATTCCGATCTAACCGAGCGTTAGATCGTCTAATTTTTCCAAGAATGCATCTCTCATTGTATACATTTTCTATTAAATTATCAATGAGAGTTCAACTATTTATTATTTTAGCTTTGATTTAATTTAATACCTATCCAAATACACATGATCATTAGTTGGAATAATAGCAAATGTATAAAATATTGTGTGGGTATTATGGCAAATTTTCCTTTAAAAATAAGTGAACGTGCTCGGAAACGCTCCAGTCTAGTCATGATCGAGAGTCAAGAGATTCTAGTTCGAGGAAACCCGAAACCGGAATTGATTCTGTCTTTTCAAACACAAATAACAATCAATCGTTCGAAGAAACTAGAATATTTTTACATAATCCAAAGAGCTTTCTTTGTAGCAATAATTCAATTGAAGAAACTGGGCGTTTTGCTTAGTTACAAGCTTTTCTTATTTTTGCAGTGGCTTAAATTCAAGGACACCCATTTCACATAGGCTTGTGAACCCAAAAGGCGAAGAAGAAGGGGAAAAGCTCATTTGTTGTGGAGATTGCACTTCAAATTATGTGAGAGAAGCTGCCATCATCAAGTCACAGGGTTTAAGAGCTTCGTCACTCCAAAACCCTAATACTAAGCAAGGCGGTGACAATGAGAAAAGCTCGACTGACTTGCCCTTTTGGCTTCAACAACAATTTCCGCTTAAAATTGAGAGTCCTTCTAATAAGGTAGGACCTATTCAAAGTTTACGTTTGTTTTATGTGTGGTTCAGTGTAGGAATATTTTCACAATAATTGCTTTCAGTGTAGTTTTTTATATCGATTGGTAACTAATTGGTGTGAAAATATTCTAACACCGAGGGAATTTTTACACGAGAACCAAACATTTAGCTTTTCTTCTTTTCCTCTGGTGGATAACATTTTGTGTGTCCCCGCACTCATGTGGTTTGTGTCTGGATATATCAAGTCATTCAGCCAAGGTGGTAGGACTGGGATTCAACCGATAATAATACCATATATTAATTATGGTATAGTAAATATAGTTAACGATAAAATCTGATATTATTTTCAACTCAATCCCAATTGTTCAAGATCAGATAGCTATGGGTTCCCCAAATATAAATAAAGAACAAGTGTGGAGACATCTATAGTCATGAATTTTATTTTTGTAATTTGTTATAATTTATGGTGGTGAATCCAGTTGAATTGCACTATAATGTTGCATTTACTTAAAATGTAAACTAAATGTTTTCCATGACTATGGCCATGAAGGATTCTGCAGAGAAGATGGTTGAGCTGAGAAAGACATGGAACAGGCTCTGTCAAAGCATTCACCCTCCTCTCCAAACCCAAATTCCAAATTTTTCAAGAGAGGCTCACTATGATAAAACCAGCTCCATTGCTTCTTCTCTGATGCCCTTTCATGGCTTCTATGCCATGTCCAGTCCATGGTGGTCCAGCTCTCAAGCCTTTAATGGCAGGAATAACAGTAACAGTTGGGCCAATAACCCAAGTGCCGGTTGTCTATCTCTTACTGATATTCATTGTAATTCAAGCTCTTTAGCTCCATGGAAAACCCAACAATTTTGGTCTATAGAAAACAATGGAAATCACCACCAAGAACCAGCAAACAAGCCCAAAGATCTCAGCTTTCAGAGCTTCAAAACTGGCTCTAATGGAGAAGTGAGGACCACCCTTTCCTTGGGGTTGGATTCAAGTGAAACCACAACCAAGAGTGGTCCTGCAACCTCTGTTCTAGAGAGAAGGAGAAATCTCATAAACCCAAGAGATTTTTGCAGGGATTTACAGGAAAATTTACCATGGCAAATGGGTGTTATCCCTAGGGTTTCAGAGGCTTTATTGGATGAAAACAGAGTGTGTTGTCTGCTTATCAGAGGCTCTGATAGAGTTGGAAAGCGAAGGCTAGCAAGAACAGTGGCTCAGTGTTTCTATGGCTCTGCAGAGAAGGTAGTGGCCATCAAAATGGGTGAGGTGGGAACGCCACACCCCCAAATCCTCACCCTAACTCTGCTCTCGAACCCCCAGCGCGTGATTTTAATGGAGGACATAAACCAGGCTGACCCATCATTTCTTCGAAAGCTAGCCATGGCTGTGGAGAAGAACAAGCTCGTGGACCCGATGGGGAGAGAGCTCTCTCTCTCTGAAACCATCTTTATCATGACAATTCACAGCTCTAGCAGTGGGTCTGGGGTTTTTGAGAGAGAACAAGAGGTGGATATGATTCAGATGAAGCTGAAAGTAGAGAGAGAGAGCAGTACGAAGCTTGAAGTGGAGAGAGGAAGCAGTCCAAAACACGTGAAAAGGAAAGCAGAGCTTGATTTACAGGGGAGCGAGAGTTCAAATGAGGATCATCCATGGAAACAGAGCAAAACCAATAGGAAGAAACTCTCCGATCAAAGGCCAAGCAGCCATGAAACCTGCAACAACAGTAGCTTGGACCTCAATCTAAGCATAGAAGATGGAGAGCCACACAGCGATCTAACTCAGGAAACAATCGGAGAATACACAGAGGAAACTCAAGAAAAAAACACACAAAAATTCTTGGATTCAATCTCTAAGAGTTTTGTGTTTGACCCTCCATCGAACTCCAATACAGTGACTGAGAGTCTCTCTCTAAAATTGAGAAGCTCCTTCAGAGAGGTATTTGGTGAAAGGGGGTCATTAATGGTGGAACAGGGTCTGTTAGAGAAAATGATGAGTGCCTCTTCCTCATTCCTCAACTGTTTTTTCGATAAATGGGTGAGAAAAGTGTTTAGAAACAGTTTGGAAAGCATTGGTGAGAGAGTTGCAGAAGAGAAGGATTTTAGAGTAAGAATGTGCATGAAAGAGGAGGGGTTGGCACGATCAACGATGGACTGTGGGTTTGAGGGCTCAAATCTACCTAATAGAATCGATTTAGTCATGTAAAGATGAGGTATGAGGCAAGAGAGAGAGAGAGATGAGTCAATGTAGAGAGAGAGAGAGAGAGAGAGAGGAGGACTGGTTGGTAGGGG